AAGTGATCCTGGATAACTCTTTTTTTTATCCAGCACTTTTTTTTGTTTTTCTGTTTTTATTTTGCATGTGCAACAGTTATACTTGCGTTAATCCGCAGTTGATAGCCCGGTTCTCCAACTGCGAAGTTGTCAACTTTCCCAATTGCTTTGACCGCGCTACGTCGCCTGATGGTCAGTTTACGGAGCGTTCCTAAAATGTATTTCGTTTCCTGAAGGGATTATTAGCTCAGCGGTTCTTTGGATAAAAATGCCTAGTAAGGCAGTTTCAAGAAATTACTGATATGTATTGAGCGTCACTCTCTCGAAATTTGCCACTTCTAGAGTAAAACGAGTACACTTTGTCTGGTGGAAGAGCATTTTTGTAATTTCCTAGAATATTCTTTATTTTTTTTTTCTTTCCTATTGCAGCAGTAGACTGATAATTATGCTTTTCTGATTCATGCAGTGGAAAAGCGTTTTGGCGAGACCTATTTACGTATATTCTTCTCTGTCTGTGGACTACGAAAGTAAGGAGGAAGCCGGATTTCAGAGTTACAAAAGCTAGGAAAATAAATTTCTGCTGCTTTCGCAACTTTTTTTAGGTGCTGCTGCGCGTACAACAGTAAAAAGTGCAGGGAATGTTGCTCACAAAGTGGCTACAACAGCTGGTAAGGAATTTTTCGTTCATTTACAGATTAATAGAGCACTGATTATGTCAACAAAATTTACACCTTACTATTATTACAACCAGTGATAAAGAGTAATTTTTGGAGTGAGAGCAGATAGGAGCAATAAAAAATGCGCCAACGTTAAATAAAGGTAAGAAAAAAGTCAGAAAAGTCTATAATATAAGAAATTCAAAAAAATGTTACGAGAGAAAGAAAGGGAAAATAAAGAAAAAGGAATATTTCGGTCCATTAGGTAACATCAGATACTTCCTATTTGTAGTTTGAATTGTCTTGGATGTTTTTTTTTATTTTTTATTTTCCTCCTGAAAGATATTTGTTTTCATATATTTTGTTGTTAATGGCTAACAGTAATAATCGGTGGCGCATTTGAGACGAAGTTTGATGTTCAGTATAACTGTGGATATCTCAAAGCTGTTAGAAACCTTGGCAAGTGCCCTTGTTAGGAGAAATATTAAGCCAATAAGAGATTGCAGCATCCAGGTTGACCCTGAAAGTATAAATGGCGAAGGTGCGAAGGAATTCAGAAGGAAATAAGTAGCGTTGGAGAGGAAGCAAGAGTGAGATAAGACGTTCCGATCCATTAAGTCATATACGTCTTAACACTGCGACTGGACCTCGTCAGTGTGACGGTCGCAGTGCTGATAATACCTTAGGAAACGAAACAAATGTCTGGACTGCGATCAGGCTGACGATTATTAGGTCGTGAAACATTAAACAGAACAAACGGAAATTTCCCCCTGTTGCAGAATAGAAGAATCCAGATTCTGAGTTCACAGCTTTCTAGGTTTTCTATGTGGCAATGAAATAACTTTAGTATTTACTGTAGGCGCTATTGTTTGCAGGCACAACTGCGGACACTGCAGTGAAAGGTACAGGAAATGTCGCTTTCAAAATGGCCACCACAATCGGTACCTAATTTTTGTTGGTCACTGAACTGTTTGGCTTGAATTATGCCAGAATTTTGCACTGAATAATTCAAAAATTCCACATCAATGGCTGAGCTGATTTCTTTGGATTGCTATTTTTAAAACTTTTTTCATCCATTTTCTTGCCTTTTTCGTATCATTTTTGTGAAGAATCTGAACTGTAGCTTTGTTACCAGTTCTCTTATTTTTAGGTACAACTGCTGGTACTACAGCAAGAAGCGCAGGAAATGTTGCACATAAAGTTGCTGCTTCCACCGGTATCGAATATTTTGTTGATTTGTTGAACAGTAAGATCCTGAAAGTGCCTGTAAGATCCTGAAACTGTGCCTGAAAATGTCGTATGTTAGCTAAGCCCGGTACAATCGGGAGCTACACAATGGCATTTAGGATAAATCTTTCGACTCTTACCCGGAAAGGTAAATTTCCAAGGTCCAAGAGTAGCAGAATATGAGGCGAGACGGTTGTGCTCACCAAACACTATAAGAACTCGAAACTTCGATCAAAAGAAACACTGAGCTGGTAATTTTTTCCAAATCCGAAATGAACGTCAGGATCGTTGGCAAACTGACCAAAAAATGACCCAACAATGGCCAGAGCAACTGGAAAATTTTCAGCTGCACAGTTTGAGAGCCAGCTATGAATTATAGCTAATCAAGGCAATGAAAAATGTAGTCTTATTACTAGTTTTTGT